CCCTCTCACACTTTGCAAGCATCAGGTTCCAGCTTGTCTACTATTCAACAAAAAGCCCTTACACCTAGTAAGGCCACTCAGCAAAAGCCCTTATACCCAGTAAGGCCATATAGCTTTCAATCCTTCCAACACCATGGAAGCAACCCAAGTCAGTCAACAAGATCTTTACCAGATCATTCACAATCTACAACAACAAGTAGCCCAGCTCTCTGCTCAGCAACAAGCTACTGCTCCTGCTACACCTCCCACTACTGTCATCAAGCACAAGAGGCCTCCTGTCAAGTCTCCTGACCTCTTCAATGGCAAAAGATCTGAGCTCCTGGCCTTTATTACCCAACTGAGTATCTACATCACTCTAAGGCCTGAAGAGTTCACCACTGGATCTCAGAAGCTTCTTTTTGCCTCTTCCTATCTCAGAGGCAAGGCTTTTGATTGGATCCAACCTCAACTCTCCAAGTACCAAGAACTCCTTGCTGAAGGTCAACCTGTTCTCACAGGACCTTTCACCTCTTATTCAGCCTTTATCTCTGAACTCAAATCTACCTTTGGAGAGATTGATGAAGTAGCCAATGCTGAGAGGGCTATCAGCAAGATCAGGCAAACCACTTCAGCAACTGCCTACAGCACAGAGTTCATCAAGATCAGCTCCCACCTCTCCTGGAACAATGAAGCTCTCTCTGCTCTCTACTATAGAGGTCTTAAGGACTCCATCAAGGATCAACTGGTACTTCAAGGCAGACCATCTGAACTTACTGATCTTATCAAGCTTTCTGTTCAGATTGACAACAGATTGTTTGAAAGACAGAGAGAGAAGAAGCCATTTCCTACTATCACCAACAGGACCCCTGTCTCTTCCTCCTATGGTGAGCCAATGGAGATTGATGCCATCACTGTCAAGAAGCCAACCAATCCTCTTCCTAGTCAGTCCAATAGCAGAAGGACTAGGCTCACTGAGCAAGAGAAGCAATACAGGAAGGATCACAACCTGTGCCTCTACTGTGGTGACCAAGGCCACTCTCTCAACACTTGTGCCAAGCTAAGTCAGCAACATGCTAGGCAAGGCAACCTCTCTGCTACAACCACTTCTCCCCAGGACACTCAGTCAAAAAACTCCCAGGCTTAGGTATCTCAGAGCCTCTCCTAAGCCAACCTGAGGCCACCACTGATCCAGGACCACCTATCACTCTATCTTCTACCAGCACTGCTCCTCAGTGCCCTCACTTGGTCCTCCCAATCACACTCTCTTGGAACTGCAAGGTCATCACCACCTATGCTATGGTTGACTCTGGAGCCACTGGAAACTTCATTTCTCCAGCCTTTGTTCAACTTCACTCAATCCCAACTGAGTCCATCAGTCCTATTAGGGTCACTACAGTTGATGGTAGCCTCATCTCTTCTGGTCCTGTTACAACAAAGACCAGTTCCCTCTCCACAGCTGTTTTTTCAAATGGCTCTTCCTCTGCAGGATCCTTGGAATTCCTTTTGGCACCCATCTCACAGTCTATCATCTTGGGTCTTCCATGGCTGAGAAAATCCAAACCAATCATCCATTGGGATACAGATACAGTCAAATTTCCAACTGCAGCATTCCAGATCAGTTCTACCAGCAAGGCAGAGGATATCATCCTTCCTGCTGAGTATCAGAAGTTCTCTCAGCTTTTTAGCAAATTTCTGGCAGACCAACTTCCTAGTCATCAACCTTATGACCACTCCATCCCCTTGGTTGAAGGAAGCATGCCACCTTTTGGATCTATCTATAGCCTATCAGAATTAGAGCTAAAGGTCTTGAGGGAGTACCTAGATGAAAACCTAGCCAAAGGTTTCATCAGACCCTCATCTTCTCCTGCTGGTGCACCAATCCTCTTTGTCAAAAAGAAGGATGGCACTCTTAGGCTCTGTGTTGACTACAGAGGTCTCAACAATATCACCATCAAGAACAGATATGCTCTTCCTCTCATCCCAGAACTCTTGGACAGAACTTCTTCTGCCAGGATCTTCACTAGACTGGACCTCAGAGGAGCTTACAACCTTCTTAGGATCAAATCTGGAGATGAATGGAAGACTGCTTTCAGAACCAGATCTGGCCACTTTGAATACCAAGTCATGCCTTTTGGACTGGCCAATGCACCTGCTTCTTTCCAAGAGCTTATCAACAATGTTCTCAGACCTTACCTAGACCTCTTTGTCATTGCCTACTTGGATGACATCCTCATCTACTCTTCCAATCAACAAGAGCACACCCAGCATGTCAGTCAAGTCCTGGAAGCTCTCTCTAAGGCAAACCTCTTTGTCAAACTAGAGAAATGCCTCTTCCATGTCAGCACTGTGGACTTTCTAGGCTTTGTCATCTCTCCCCAGGGCATCTCTATGTCTCCAGACAGAGTTAGCTCAGTCCTCACTTGGCCAGCTCCTAAGTCAGTCAAGGAGCTACAATCTTTCCTAGGCTTCTGCAACTGGTATAGGAAGTTCATTCCTAGCTTCTCTAACCAGGCTTGCAAGCTTACTTCTCTCTTGAAAAAGGATGCACCCTTTCTATGGACTTCTGCTCAGGAGCAAGCTTTCAACACTCTGAAGCAAGAATTTTCAACTGCCAGAGTACTCAGGCATTTCAATCCTGAGTTGCCTATTACTTTAGAGACAGATGCCTCTGACAGAGCCATCTCTGGGATACTCCTCTAGCCAGGACCTCAAGGACTCCAACCTGTTGGCTTCTTCTCTAGGACTCTCTCCCAAGCAGAGCTCAACTATCCCATCTCAGAGAAGGAACTCTTGGCTATAGTAGAGACTCTAAAGACTTGGAGATGCTACTTGGAAGGAGCCAGACACCAGATCACTATCCTCTGTGATCATGCCAACCTTGTCACTTTTAATACCACCAAGAAGCTTAGCAGGAGGCAAGCCAGATGGTCTGAAGAACTCTCCAGCTTTGACTTCACCATTCAGCATGTCCCTGGCACCAAAAATCCTAGGGCAGACTATCTCTCTAGAAGGGCTGATTACATGGTAAATACTGAAGTAGAGCATCAACCTCTCCTACCCAGTCATCTTTTCAAGACCATTGCAGCCACCAATACCACCTTGAAACCAGAGCACTTCTCTTCAGAACTCTCCTTGTCAGACAACTTGCAAGAAGACCTCATCAAGGCTTATGCAAAGGATCCTTTTTGCAAGACAGCTCTGGACACCCTACTGTCTCTAGAAGACACTGCTACCAAGCCTGACAACTTGAAGCATTACACAGCTTTTTCTGGACTCCTATTCTTCAAGGACAAGATCCATGTCCCTAGAGACAAGTCTATCCAACAGGCACTTCTCCAGTACTACCATGACCATCCTATGTCTGGACATTTTGGTTTTGACAAAACCTTTGAACTTATCACCAGGAACTTCTTCTGGCCTAACTTAAGGACAACTCTGCAGGACTACATCTCTGCTTGTCCTTCTTGTTGTCAGAACAAGCCTTCCAGACACCTACCTTATGGCAAACTCCAACCTCTTCCTATCCCAGACAGACCTTGGCAGTCTATCTCTTTGGACTACATTGTCAAACTCCCTCCAAGCATGGATATCCTCTCCCTAGAGCCTTTGGACACTATTCTAGTAGTAGTGGACAGATTCTCTAAGATGGCTCACTTCATTCCTTGCAAAGAAGCAATAGATGCCAACACATTCTGTCTACTTCTGTTCAAGCATGTCTTCAAGCTCCATGGACTCCCTGACACTATCATCTCTGATAGAGGATCTCACTTCACCTCACCATTCTTCCAAGAGATGGCCAAGTCCCTCAACATCAAGCACAAGCTGTCTACCTCTTTCCACCCTCAGACAGATGGCCAGACAGAGAGGGTCAATGCTATACTGGAACAGTACCTCAGGATGTATACCAACTACAAGCAGGACAACTGGGTCAGCCTTCTTCCTATGGCTGAGTTTGCCTTCAACAACTCAGTATCAGCAACTACCAAGGAGACTCCTTTCTTCATCAACTCTGGACAACATCCAACCTTCCATCTCTCCCTGTTTCCAGAATCACCTTCAGCAGCTGCTCAACTACAATCAACCACTCTTTTAACTCTCAGAGACTATCTCAAACTCCAACTTACCAGGGCTCAAGACAACCAGGCTCATTACTACAACCATCACAAGGACACCACCACCACTTTTTCTGTTGGAGACATGGTCTATTTGAACAGAAAGAACATCAGCACCACTAGACCTTCACTCAAACTGGACCACAAGAAACTAGGACCCTTCAAAATTCTCAGGTCTATCAAGGACACCTCATTTGAGCTACAACTTCCCCTTACTTGGAGAATTCACAATGTCTTCCATATCTCACTTCTGGAGAAGGCACCTACATCTATCCTCCAATCACTAGATCTACAATCTCCACCTGTGGAACTGGACACTGGCCAAGAATGGGAAGTAGAAGCCATTCTAGACATGAGAAAGAACAGGAGAACAACCAAGTACCTTGTCAAATGGAAAGGTTACTCTGACATTGAGAATACCTGGCAAACTGAGGCTGATCTAGCCAATGCAAATGACTTGCTCAAATCTTTCAAAGCCAAAAAGAGGAGAGAGAGCATGGTGTCATACTGACACGGCTTGCAGCCAACCAGTCCTTATACATCTGTCAACCCCTATTACCCCTATCTGTCAACCCCTATTACCCC